TAATAATAATAAGGAATAAACCTATTTTTAAAGGTAGATTTGTCATGTTAAATCCGAGGGGGTTTTTGCCAGTTTGAACGGTGTAAAATTGCTCTGTTAGAATGAGTCATGATGCTTAGCTTTTCTGCAGCATATAATCTCACATGCTCTAATGTTAATTAAATTCCAAAGAAACAGTTTTCTGATCTCTCTACAGGGAGCTTGTTTGCCTTAAAATGAAACTACTGGGCTGAGATAGTCTCCACTATACTAGCATTACGTTCACTACATTAACTCAGTAAAGACTTTGGCATAAGACATGTAGCTGAACCTCAGTAATCCCCTTTGCTTATCTGGAAACCCGGGGCTCCTGCTCGGTGTCTCATTTGCAGCGGGGTCTCATTGCGATATTAACCTTTCCATTTGTTATAACACCCTGAAGCGTTATCACATCATTCAAATGAGCCACGCAAGCAAATGAGCAACGTACACAGAGCTGGGAGGTGACGGTGGCCAGGCTTTGTTTGCAAAGCCTTCCCCAGGCTGAATGAGAACTGTTGCACTGCATCTGTCAGCGCTTGATTTTACTTCTCCATGGCCCTTTTGAAAGGGGCTGGAGGAGTGTTGTCCATCCAGAAGCAGCTTCCCCTCCCAGTCCCAAATGTATTCCGACTTAGCACATGGTTCAGATAGCAGAATGAGCAGAAGCTTTTGCCGCAGAGCTGCAGAGCTTTGCAGCAGCCAAGCCCTCCACATTTGCTTGCATCCCTGGCTTCTGGGTGCAAATGCACATCAAGTTTTGGGAGAGAAAAGGCATTGAGATTACAAGTTCCCTAAGGAGGAAGGGGTAACATTTCCCCCATTTGCAGTGCATGCCTGCTCCTTCTAAGCTATTGCTGGTTGCTCAGGTTTGGGGAAGAAGTGGAAGAAGAGGGGCAAGTGAAGTCTTTCTACCCAGAGAATGATTTGGGGTAGGGGAGAAGGGTGGAGAAATATCTGGTTAGCTCACGAGTGAACGAAGGCTGGTCCTGCTCTTTGGTGAAAAATTTGCCCATCAAACGTGTTTTCTGGCTGTTTGACTTCATCCATGCTAAAAAAAGAGGATAAACAGAGATTAATACCTAAGCCTTGGTTGATCCTGGGGCATACGAAGAGTGTTTGCCTTTCGTAACTGAAATGATGGGACCACTTGCTTGGCTTTGGTGTGAACAAAGAATGAAATAGGAAATGCTCCTATTCAGGGTGAGAGGCTTGGACATCTTTGAATCCACTTGGCATTATACGCAGTGTCAGGATGCTAGTCCTGAGTGCTCTCAAATATTCCCAGAGGTTACAAGCTCAAGCACTTGACTCAAGCGAAAGCTGATGGATACAAAGGAAGCTAAACCTTCTCCTGTGGTATGCAATGGGCCCTACACAGCCAATTAGTGCATTTCTCTCTCCATCCCAGCAGTGTGATGTGTAAGTGGACAGTGGGGAGAACAGGAGGTACCAGGGGAACTCATAATCCAGAGGAATATGGTTGGGGTAAGGAGGAGAAAAATAATTGCAAGGTGCCTTAAAAGCACATGTCACTCATCTAGTGAGACAGATATGCTCTGCACAAATATCATATGTCTGCGTTAGGGCTGGGCTTGGGCCAGAACTGCTCCTGGGCCCCACTGCGGGCTGAAATCCCACAGGGACAGGTTTCAAGAGCCTGAGGGATGGGGTAAGCACAGTGGGTGGGAGGTGGAAAGAGACCTCTGAAAGTGTTCACAGACACTACTACTGAAACCTCGCTGACAACCACCATGCCTTCGTCACCATGTGGGGTGTCTTTATGTCTGGGGATCAAATTTGATGTTTACACAGCCTTGAAACTGCTTTCTTAGTACAACTCCTGCTGCTCCGTGTTTCCTGTTGATTTGGGGTGGGTTTGTCTGCTTGGGGTTGATACCTCATTCATACAGAAACACTCATTTTCTTGGGGAGCTCAGGTATATTAGTGCATTGTGGAAATACTTTCTGCAGTCATATGCTAGAGCAATAGATTAAATCCTTCATGATCCTTGTTAACATTAAATCTTGAACGGAATGTTTCTAATTCTCATTGTCATGAAGAACAACCAGGCGGAGGTCTTAGACCTTTATCAAATAATATTTCCATCACAGTCAATGACAGATGCAACAAAAGCAAACTATTTAGTCTCTTGCCATTGTTTTTAATAAGGCACTTGTCATCCTTCAACTCACTTTGGTTGAAGCAGGTATTTGCCAGTGCAGTATGTTGAATCCAATGTGTTTCATAGAAGAGAGGCAAACACAGCAGGTCTTTGACATGGTAGATGACTTGATGCAGGAAGAGTTTCATGATTCTTGGAAAATCATCTCACTGCCCAAACAGTGAACTTCTTGGTTTAACCATTGTAATCCAGGAACATCAGGTACTATAGGAATTCTAACATCGAATCTCAGACCTGTTTGGGTTGGAAAGGACCTTAAGGTCATCTGGTTCCAACCCCCCTGCCACGGGCAGGAATGCCTTACATTAGAACATGTCAGCCAAGGCTCTGTCCAACCCTTGTAGCTATGGTCACAAACCTTCCTTTCAAGCAGCACCTCCAGAGCACTCACATTTGCCCCTGTCAAAGAAATGGAAATTAGGAAAAGTGCAGGCTTGCTGTCCATTAACATGACCAGAAAATGCATATTGCAAAAATCTTGCTCAATACAAGTACCAGTAACACAATTTGGAATAACTTGTGGTTAGTGGGATTTGCTTTTAAGCAACTGAATTCAAATATGTAATACAGCAATAGTGGGAAAGGGTTTAGATTAAGCAAATAATGTAAAAATCATTTCTGAGTACAGGGTTATCAAATTGTCTCACTGTCACAAACTCAGAGCCTGATGTTGCAAATGACTGAGAAGCTCCTGGGACCTGCTAAATACTTTGCAGTCCAAACATGTATAGGAGGAGGCTGAGAAGATTTTAAAGCACTTTGGAGGAAAGAGGTTTGTACCTGAGATGTAGATGAAAAAAATCCACAGGACAAATTGTGTCAGAATTACCCTAGTGGGCAATGAGAGCCTTTTGCAGAAGAACATAAATGTGAATATTAAGCCTCAGACCTAGGGCCCATTTGGCCCAGTACCCTGTTTCACTTTTCCAGCTGCAAACTATCTTCAGTTCAGCTGAACCCCTTGTGGTTTGTAGTCAGTATTAACGATTGTTCTTCTAAACATCTCTGCATCCTCTTCCTTAATGTACGTAAACCCAACATTCTTTGGCAGAGAATTGTCCAGCTATGTGAGAAAACAGCCCATTTTATTTGTTTTAAAGCAGGTTTCTACTTGCTTTATATGGTGGTCCCGAATTCTGGTCCCAGAAGAGTCTACAAACCTGCTCTCTCTAGGTCACCCATATATTTAAAGGCTGCTGTTATATATTGCATCACTTACTGCTTTATTTCCCCTAGCGAAAGGCACTACTCAGTCATTCCTTGTCTGAAAGCTGTCCATACTTTCAGTCATCCTTGTTGCTGTTTGAAACTTCCCCAGTTTTAATATGTGTTATCTGAGAGCAGGGTACAGGAACCACATTGGAGTGTCTACAACCTCCAGGTATGTGGACACTTTGAAGATTCAGCAGGACAGGGAGCTGGGAAATCTAGTCTAGGTTGTGCTTTGCTTAGAAAGGCTGGACCAGATGATCCTTGAGGTCCCTTCCAACCTGGGATTCCATGATTCTATGAAAACTCTCCAAATGAAGCTAGTGTCTGTGCTTCTAGCATGGAGCACTCCACTGCCTACTGCTCTTCCAGCTGCCCCTTTGACTTCTCTGTGTCCCCTGATCCTCTGTTAAGGACACCAAACCTAAGTACAACCTTTTAGGATGTTCTATTGCTTTTGATTAATTATGAGAACTGGCAATTTTTCAGGTCAATAGGAAAAATAAAAAAGAGCTTGGCTGCAATAAGAGGATTTATAAATCTGTTGTCAAAAAACAAGACTGAGTCAATGAGGCAGATAACCAGAACAGTACAAGCACACAGGCTTATTTTTGTCTTAGCCCTGATGAAAGCCTCTTTTCTATAGTGGAGGTTTCCATACTGATGAGCATATTATATCTTGTGATCCAATTTGCTGAGAGTTTGACCTAGAAGAAATCACTGTAAGCGTGTAGGATTTCTTTGCAGTATGGACATGTTGCTTGTATACAGCTCAGTAGGTCTTGGCTGCACAAGGCTGCTTCAATTTTTAATGAAAGACTCCTAGAGATGAAATATTTAACACCTCTTTCTGTAAAGTCCAACTCCCCTTACTACTACTACTACCATTATAAAGGGCAGTGATACTGCTTATTGCTCTAAGTGTTTTAGAGTGATGGATGGAAAGAACTGAACTGAATCCTGCAGTTCTTTCTTACTGAGGTCAGTGAGAGTTTCAATTAATAGGAAGATTTTAATCAAGTGAGAACTGGGAAAGACCTTATTGATCCTTTTTTTTTCTGGAGAAAAATCCTTCAAAAATCAAGAAAACCCTCCCACAAAGATGATGTATGGAGAGAGATTCTTTAAGCCATCTGAAAGAGAAATGAATTATTCTACGGTTTGCCCAGATGATGATAGCTAAATTTAAGCGACAACCACTAGTGCCAACCCCTTCTTTTGATTAATTTTAGCTTCTCTGTTTATTTGTGGGATAAATCTTTAAAGAAATCCATCCATTACAACGCACATTTTCCCTCCTGGCAGTTGGGAATGTTTCTGCTGTATCAATGGGAAACTATAGTTCAGAACAAGAAGCTTTAACCATGAGTTGGCTCCAATGGAAACCCACAGAAGCTGGTAATCTGTGTGCATTATAACACTGGCTGATCAATAGTAATTCAGGGATAGAGTGGAGTGAGAAATATTTCAAAGCTTGATTAGTTGTGCTCCTTTTCCATTGGGAATGTAGTGTAATCTTCACTTATAAAGACATGTGATCTGAAAGCCCGAGGCAGAGCAATCCTTGTTTCCACAGGAGAAGCTTTTCAAGGATGCAAAAGCTTTCACATCCTTATCTTTGCTTCTAAAAGCTGTGACTTCTCCACAGAATTAAAAGAGAGGAAAAAGCAAAAGCAATGGCATCAACATCTCAGCCTCTACGAGGTAAAAGGGCATGTAAAAAAATCTTCTGGGCAGTGTTTCCTCATGCCTGCTTCATTCTGTCTCTTGTGATCTATGCTTTCCTGGGGGCTGTCATGTTTTCCCACATTGAAGGTAACCGGAAGGTCAATTTAAGTGAAGAATATAGAAAATTCATGCAGAATTTGTGGTACATCTCCAGAAATTTATCAGGTATGTACTGGGATTTCAAATTGACTTGGCTGTACAGGGAGATACTCAATCTCTTGCCTTTTCAATGGGATTTTTGGCTTTTGAAAACATTCTTCAAAATACTATCAGCTGAACCTGCAAACAGGATTTTCCCTCTGCCTAGCTAATGACTGCTGCTGTTTGCTTGTCTTCTTTAGCTGTGATTTTTGTCTGCAAGCTTCCCTGGTCCCTGCATTCCTACCTGAAAGCGCTTTTCCTGGGGTGCCTGTGTTCTCCCTTTTGCTCAAGTTCCTGAAAGAGCAGCTGAGATTCCCAAAGCATTTCCCTCTGATTGCTGGGACTGAATCCTCTGTCTCAGAAAGTCTCTTCCAGCTCCCTCTTCACAGCTCTGGGCTTCCCTACCAACCCTATAGTGATGGGATGGAGAGGGTAGATGAGATGAGAAGGGATAGAAATCCTCCTGTATCTGTGTTGGGACTCATACACAGACTCGGACTTTCAGTCAGGTAGCTGTGTCTTTAAGTAAAAAGAATACAGATCCTTTGGGGAGACCAAAATGAAACAGGACATTCGGAGTTGAATATTCAATCTTCCTGCCCTGCTTCTTTATGCTTATTTTTGTGTCATATTTTGAATTTGTTGGGGCATAGTCTATTTTATTTGCTTATTTTTTTCTTGTTGCTTTATTCACTGAAGCCACCTGATTTTTTTCTGGAGGTAAAGGGGAGGGTGAATGTCTTTATCTCCTAAAAGAGTACAAGCAAGTCTCAGATGGAGAAAACATTACTGGAATAACAGGCTGGCTGCTTCCTCAGTGGTGGTGTGCAAACACTCATTGTCTCTCCTGTTGTTACTGTAACAGATAATATGACAGAAAATGAGGAGATATTTAAGGAAGAAATCCATGCACTGCTCAATACAGCTGAACGAGACTGGTTTGTCAACCCAAAAGACAAATGGACTTTCTTTGGGTCTCTCTTTTTCTGCTGCACAGTATTCACAACTGTGGGTAAGTTCAGAGTTAAAGCAACCCCCAGCGAATCAGTTGGTATTGCTGCTTTGTCTAATGTATTTCTTCCATGGAATTAGAACAAACAACCAAACCTAAAACCCAAATCCCCTTCTATGTTCTTCCTGAGTAGTGATGATGAGTCTGCTAGGGGCTCTGCAAACGCCGACTGCAGAGATGTAGTTGAGTCACAGAAGCAAGTTGGAATTTAGTAAGTAGTGATGATACACACTAATTAGCTGCATCACTACATGCATACTATAACATGTACTTATATATGACAGGTACCCAAAACTAGTATATTAAAGTAAAAAGAAAGCTCAATTTTACTGTCAAACCTTATCCTTCCCATTATTGTGCGTTATGGTGGGTAATGTTCTCCTCACTGGAAGAGGTAATTCATTATGCATATATTGTCTTTCAATTTCTTCCCTATTATTTATGTCTAACCCAGCTTTGTAAATCTATGGCTCTATAATTAACCATGCTATAGTTGTTCACACTTCTCTGTGTTAACAGCATGTGGTGATGTTTAGGTCACACCTCTGAAACCTTTCATTCTGACTTCATGCTTCAAAGGAGGACTTAGATCAAGTATTTGTTGCTAATAGGTGTCTATTTCCATTGCAGTATTAGGAACTGATATGCAGTATTAGGAACTGATATACAGTATATGCAGTATTAGGAACTAATAAATAACTTCAGGTTGGAGTCAATTTAGCTATCTTTAATTACCTAGGAGGACAGAGGCATCTAGTCTGAAGATCAGTGGTTTGAGCTGCCTCTCCCCACTGCCCTAGGAGCTTGTTTACTGGCTCAGCTAAGCAAGATTTCTGGATAGCTGAATATAAGCTCAAGATAAGTTTTAACCCCTGTAATTGCACCTCAGTCTTTTAATGCATAAAAATTGAGAAAAGGCAAAAAGAAAATCACTCTGTACAATAACTACAATAATGAATCTCACAACAATAAATCTCACAATTGCTTCATCAGTAAGGATTAGCAGTCCTGGTTAGCCAATGCGAAAGAGAATGACAGAGATTAAATAGTTTTTCAGTGCCTTACAGCAAAGGAGGGACCAGGTTTGGATTCAGACCAAAGGCTATGGCAGCCTTTAGTGAAAAGAAACATGAATGGATGAAGAAAATGAAGGAAAACTTGCCTCAGCATATGAGCTAATAAACTTAGAGGCTAAGCAACTGGCCTGGAAAACCATCTAGAAAAGAGCAATGTTTTTGAAGTGAGAGAAGAAATTATTGATGTCATTTTGGGGGATGAGAAGAAAAATGTTTTTTAAAATTAAATACAATTGATATAATGCTGATGTTTTCTCCCACGGTAATGGAAAAGCACTAATTTACAATTGAAGTTTCATATCCAATATGTTAGAGGAAGGAAATACAAATACCCAGATTGAATTTAGGGAAAGGGCATATCTTCTGCTACCATGTTAAGTATCATAAAGGCCATGCGTCTGGTAGTACTTCACTGTTTGTAATCTTTAGTGCTTGAGAATAAATCTGCATTTCCTCATGTGAGAAACATGTGCTTCCTCACTTGATGTTTTGTTTTTTTAGTGTTTAAGAGACTCTGAAAACATGAAATACATACAAACACCATGTTAGTACAATATATGCCATTAGAGCTAGGTCTGATGAATAAGGGACAATTTCAAATGCTGTTATTAGCTTACCGTTGATCACAAGTATTTTTGGTGGAGAAATGATGTGTAAAGTATACATCTCATTGTCCCAGTTTGATCTAAACTACTGTCCCAGTTTCAGAATTCAATCATCTAGACCTGAATCTCCTCAAAGCTCAGGGAGTTTCATCCCTAGGGATCATTCAGTCATACTGTGAGGCCCTGGAGGCTGGCCAGGAAATGATCCCCCAGCTCCTCATGCACAGTCCATTAGCTTTCCCAACATAAGCCCTCAGCTCGACTTCCCTGCAGAGGGATCCATGGGCTCAAGACCTCTCCCTTTTGGATCCTTCTTGACTCAGCTTCCCAGGTCAGGAAATCTGCCCAGTAACAGTCTCTAGCAGGACAGAGGCTGCACGCTAGCCTTGGGCTGGACCAAACCTTTTGTTTCCCCTCCCTAAATGGCCTCTTGTTGTCAACAGGTTAAGTCAAAGAGCTGATGAGGTGCACATAATATAGGAAGAGTTAATTCATCAAAACTGACAAACTCCAAACCTCCAAGTGCTTGAAGAAGAAGGATGCTCAGATTAGTGGTTTCTGAGACTCAGATATTTTAATAGCTTCAAAGCAAAGCAAAAGAACAGTATTCTCTGTGCTAAAAGTTGATTTTTAAAGTGAACAGCAATAAAAAACTCAGAGGATGTGAATAGCTAATACATCATAATGTTATGTCTCCCTTCTCTTCCTCTTTTTGTTCAAGGTTATGGCAATACCTATCCTGTGACACGGGCTGGAAAGTATCTCTGTATGTTGTATGCTTTATGTGGCATCCCTCTGATGTTCTTGGTCCTGACAGACATGGGAGACATCCTTGCGACTGTCTTATCCAAGTGTTACAATGAATTCAGAAAGCTCCAGTCAAAACTTCTAGCCTCTAAACTCTGTTCTGGACGCACATGCAACAAAGGGGACAAACTGAAATCCAGAGCGCAGTCCAACATAGTCATCAATGAGCCCTTGAGTATTATGGAAGTGCTGAAAAGTCAACCGGGCGTTAAAAGGAAGCTGGTCAAATGCCGCAACGCTGAGATATTTGAGATGTTAATTGCCAGAGAGAATGAATGTACAGGCCCAGTGAGAAACAAGAGCATTGAGAGGTGGAGCTCATGTCCTGAACTAGCCAGGGGAAAGACAATGTCAAGAGTCATGGAGAATTTTGACAAAATTGGGAAGCAGTTAGAAAAGTTAGATGTGCCCATCGTGTTAATGGTGTTAGTTATCTTTGTGTACATCTCCTGTGCGGCTGCTATTCTTCCAAACTGGGAAACAAGGTTGGATTTTCAGGAAGCCTTTTATTTCTGCTTTATCACCTTGACAACTATTGGATTTGGAGATACACAACTGGAACACCCCAAGTTTTTCTTGTTTTTTTCCCTCTATATTATTATTGGCATGGAAATAGTTTTCATTGCTTTTAAGCTGGGCCAAGACCGCTTAATTGGTTTGTATAAAAAGGTGATCTCATTTTGTGGGGAGAAAAAGATGCCGTCAATGAAGATATATCCAAAATAAGTAATTCCTCCTTCACTTGTAAGCATTGGCCACTACAATGAGATGAAACTTTCTTTGCATTTCTGCCTAGGGGTGGCAGGAGGTATACCTTATTCTGATTTCTTCTGAGAATCTAATTGAAAATGGATGAATACCTCAGGACACACTTGGAGAAGGCATCTCCAGGAAGTACTTTCCAGCAGGATCCCACCTCCTGAATAATGATGATGCATGATGAAAAAGGAGAGGGCTCTCCCTGCCAGTGCTCCCTAGCACCTTTAGCAAAGCCTTTCGCTCCTCTCTCCCATCACAAGCCAGTATAGGGTATCTTTTTCAGCACTTGTCCAAGCAAGTCCTAGATCACAATGTCATCATGCCACCTTGTCTGCAGCTAGGGACAGCTTAGTTGTGGCTGTCAATACTGAACTGTGTCAGAATGCCATTGCAATATGATTTATCATCAGAGAGAACTGGGGAGAAGGACTGTGAACCCAGCTGCTATTCTGTCATGACTGCATGTATTGCAAATATTGCACCTTTATGTAGGCCAGAGGAATTCTAAAATTAAAAGGAGGACACCAAATTTCCACCTCTTTCTCTGTCCCCTGTCCAGAAATCGATCAGAAAACTGTTCATCAATTCATGGTTGAAACCACTTCTTTTCCATCATGGTTTATCATATCTTTGCTCATCCCAGAGTCAGTATGTCTTGTGGTATCCAGCTATAGAAGTGCTTGTGACAAGGTCTGCCCTTGTGATGGTAAGGGGAAAACACGGAACAAACTTCAAGGTGAGTACAGCTGTGGAATGAACCTCCAACTCTTTGCTGACGGTCTGGGAACACCGACCCCAGAAGTCCTCACTCCTCATCCAGGTTTTACTCTGCACAGACTGCTTGACTTCTGGGAGTTCCTTGACCCATAGACAGAAAAGTGTGCCTATTTCAATGTGATGTGGTGAGGATCCTGTAGTTATATATCTGTAGAGTGCATTAATACATGAATAATGCTGTATCTTCAAGATTTTGCTTATATTATTCATAATCTGGATCAAGCTGTCAATGATAGATTTTTTTTCTCCCTGACAAACCAAAAACCACCAAAACACTCTATGAAAGAAATCACTGACTTTAATTAACCTGTTAACCTGTAAATTGTATACATGCTCACTGACTGTGAATGACATCTCTAGGTATTAAAGCATGTTTGATTATGCTTTATGTACATTATTCTCCATAGCAAATATGCCATTTGAAGCTGAGACCTTTAGGGTATTTACATGGCATCTTACCTCTGTTATACTCCATCTACATGGTAATGTGTATTCAGTCTTTATCAATAATTATTTATGATTAATCACTGATGATATGCAAAATATATAATGAATGATATTATACAGAAAAGTTCTTTATAAAAATACCAATAAAGAATACAGCAGCTGGAAGGAACTCCTGTTAACTTTTTCATTTTTGCCATGACTTTGGCTTCACGTACAAAGTCCCTCTGTTCAGCCTGCTCTCATACTACTCTATTTTATGTCTTTGGATTAAAATCAGTGTAGGACCTTGGACCCATGCCAGTGTTTTCAGAAATCAATGAAGAGACTGGTATGATTTAACGGGCTTTGAAACAGAGAACTGTACTTCCTGCTCCTCAGGGCTTTTTCTTGTGATATACCTAACATAGCCAGCATTAGTTGGAATTGGCCTTTATAACATGATTAGTTTCTCTCATATCAATGAGATCTCATTTATGGAGAGGGATTACCTCTGAATTCATGCCCTATAGATTTTTCACTGGTGTGATATCTTGATACCTTCACATTTACTTTACAGACTTAGGGAATTTTGGCTGGACTTGCAATAAGGATTATACACCAAATCGTTCTAGTTATGGCAAAGGGATGGTGGTAAACAGCTTTCCTTCCTATAGAACCCACCAGTTATGGCAGATTAAAATGTATTCTACAGAAGAAGAGAGAATAAATCATATTGCCATGACCCTCTATAAAATGACAGTGAACCTGCCTCTTGAATATAATGTGCAGCTCTGATCCTTCACTTCCCAAAGGATATGCAAAATTGGAAAAAGCTGATAGGACAGGTAAAGGATGACCAAAGACAGAGAATGGCTTACATATGAGAGACATGGAGTAGCTCTCCAGTCTGGAAAGAGGTGAGAGACTGAAGGAGAGATGTGTAACATCACGAGGGCACAGAGGATGGAATGACGGAATGATTGCTAAACATCCTTCATTATGAGAGCTAAGGCTTTCATGTGGCAGGTTAGAGAAAAGAAACAGAAAGAAGAGAAAATGGTACTTCACACAGCATGTAATTAAGCTGTAGATACTCCTTGGCATGGGAGGATGTGGCAATTAAAAGTTCACATTAGATCAGTGGGAGATGGAGCAAAATCATGAAAGAAAAACTTGAAAACCAGTTAAACACAAGCATAAGACTTCTGGCTCAATAATCACTGAGTCCCAAACTGGCAGATGAGGAGGAAGCAACTCTACAGACTTCTCTGTCCTTGTGTTCTTTCTTTGTAACCTGCTGTCTCTCAGAGACAGAATACTGGTCTGCATAGTATTCTGACGCGATTTAAGGGCTTGTAATGCATTGAAACAGATTATTATATAGCTAACAAAATATTCAGTAAACCTAATTTCTGCAGAGATACTCGGTTTCACATTGCATGCAAGGCAGACAAACCAGCACATTCTGATTCTGCAAAACAGATCACGAAAGAATGTGATTTGGGCTACACAACACAACCAGCCTGCAGCAAATAGAACACGGTCGTTCATGTTGTGTTGTGAACCTGAAGGATAGTGGAGAGCTGGGCACACACCAGTGTCAGGGATAGAAAGGTATTTATGTCCTCTGCTCAGGTGCACTGATACAATTAACCCCACATAGACAGGGATATCTGGCCCTGATTTTCTTACTGTGAAAGTTGGAAGCCAGTTTGCCAGATGACAGCACAATATGCGGCAGCCTTGCACTGACAGCGACAGCAGTGGTGTGGTCAGTATAATAGGATCTGAATGCAGCTCAGTAGATACAGCAACAGACTTAATGAACATGAAACAAAGTAGTGAGTAGTGACTCATTTAGTGAGGCTTAGGCATAAATATTTATGAGTTGACTGCTCTTATCATGATCTAAATCCTAGCAGAATTCGCAGTGACTGCCCTCGGAAGTTTTTATTCAACAAAACTGACATGGAAATCAGCTTTGTTTGCATCAAAGCCATATAAAATACTGCTTTTCATAACTTTTTTTCCATCATGTGCTGCACGAGATGGTGGCTTAGCCATGAAGGGTGTCATGGAAGAGCTTTTCTATCAGGAAAGACGTGACTGATGGGGAAAGAGTTGCTTGATGTGTAACCCACAAAGGATATGAGTTATTACAGACCCAGCTGGAGAGCTTTACAGATCAAATGCATTTGGCGCTGAAGGATGCTGGATCAATCACTCCTGATTGGGCCAAGATGGCAGCTGTCACGAGCACTTAGGAGCAGTGAGGAGGGCATTCCTGGTGTGGGAATTGCAGAGGGAGGGATGGAGGAATGAGCAGAAGGGTGGAAAATAATCTTTGGGCAGAAAGGTTAGAGGGGGAAAATGACAGCAACAGCGGAGGAAGGAGCTGCTTTCTGTATAGACAAAAGTATGTTGAAGAGATGCTTGAGAGACTGAAAATATGGTGAGGGCTGGTGCCTGTGGCCTGGGGAAGGCTAGTGCAGCCAGCCCATGGTTGGACAGCCCTTCTTCAATCAGCACAGTGGTCATGGTTGTTGGGCTCCAGCACAGGTGTCACCATCAGCAGCCACAGGGAGAGCAGAAGAATCTGCAAGGAAGCCTCCTGAGGGATAAAACAGTGGCAGAAAGAACATACGGACACTGGACTGAAAAGCCATTAATGAAACCACCAGAAATATCCTTCTTATTCTCTGCTTTGTCATTCAATGAGCAGCAACCCGTTCAGCAGCATCTTTTACATGAGCAGGACATCTGAGGACTCAGGAAATTCCTAATGGGATGTAGGACTTGTCATCTGTATGCCAGTAGTTCAGATGCAGTCCAGATTTTAGTGGGCTCAATGTTAATAACATCTGATAGCACTTTGATGGCCTTTATGCTTTTTCAACTTGTTCCAGGTGCAGATGCACCCACATCACAAAAAGGCTCTCACATAATGAATGCTAATAGCAAGCATGGTGGCAGGCTCAGCAGGGGCAAAGTGTAAGACTCCAGCTGAAAGGAGTCCCTGCAGTCCCTTTTGCTTCCAGGTTCCCAGTACACCTTGTGATCCTCATTTTCAGACCACAGGATGCATCAAATGTAGCATGTGTGGCTGTTGCATGCAATATGAGTGGTTTGCGATCCCAGAATGATGGCTCTTATTATTTTCCTTGGATTTCACAAATGGAATATTTTTTTAATGTATTAGTCTTATTTATAATTATAAATATATAATTATTATTATTATCCAAAAGCTGTACTCAGCTGTTCTGCCAGGACATGCTATATTCTAATAACAATTTGAAGCATTTAGTTAGGCTACCTTTCCCTTTCTTCCTTACCTTATGTACCACATACACGGTAGAAAACACATTTCTCAAGCCATTCAAAATGATAGCCTGGCTTACACAGAGCAAGGGAGATCAAGTTGCTCAGGATAAATTTCAACTCTCTTTGTTAAAGTACATAGCACAGACGGTGACAGAAATACTAGGAATTTGCTCCATCACTCACAGCAAGTAATAGTTCTGTGAAGACAACACATGCATATATAAGATCTCATATATGAGGCCAATATTTTTAGGATGGCGGCCTGAGGTCTAAGTGCAAACTGTCAATGGACAAGGAAGTCCATAAATGCATTACTTGTGCGTGCCAATAGCTAGTTGTCTGCACGTGGTACTCATTAGAGTGTTATAGGAAGTGCTTGAACAAATGCTGGCGTGTGTGCTCATGGGTTTGCATGTGAATGTGAGCTTTTTCTCCTTCCTTTTTCTTTGAATTAAAAATTTGGTCTCTTGGTAGATAAAATCTAGTTCGTTTTGAGGTCATTTCAGACTTTTTCAAGCTTATGAAGTTCTCAGTGTTTGGGCACAGCCAGAATCCTCCTGACACTGAACTTGTACGTAAAACCGTATTTCTGTGCATTTTCAGGATTTACTGAAGTCTAAAGGAAATGGAAAGAAATAGGCAAGAAGGGAAAGGAAAGCAAAGCAGGCAAAGAGTGACAGTGGAAAATGAATTGCTGTGTTAAACATCTACTGATGAGAAATCGGGGTAATGATGCTGTCTAACAGCACTGACGCATTACATTATCTGCTTCCACAAAATCCTGTGTGAACAGGAAATCTGAGAGAGAAGACACCACAAAATCAGCATATAAAATTGCCAGTGTACTTGATGCACTGCTGGAAGACAGTTATTGAATCTGCCATGCGATGCCGACTGTCATCATACTCTCTGATCAGTGCCCCATAGGGGAAAGCCACCCGCTTGCTGTCTTTTGTCACAGATGACAGAAAGATTTGAGAAGCAGTCACAAGAGGTGAAGGCTGGGGATTTGTGGGTATAACACTCACATTCTACAGTTTCCCCACTTTATACTTCTCTTGTGACAAGTAATAGAAGTTGTTGTTCATGAAGGAATTTGGGAGTTCAGTTGGGAATTTGGGAATTTGAAGAATTCAGTGTATGTACGCAGCCTTCTGCCAGCCAGATTGGTATTACAGTTGGTTTTAGGCTGTTTTTCACTCACACAGCCATCCAAAGTCTCAGGAGAGCATTGACTGCTTAGATTTCACTGATGCATAATGGATAGTTTTCCAAATACACTTGCAAGCCAGAAGCACAGGGTTGCTGTGCTTCGTGCACAATAGAACTGGCTGATGCCTGGAAGAAAACAGAAGTTTTGAATATAGCATAGCAGCATTTTCATTCAATGTTTTCAAAGCAAATTTGAATTTGTAGGAGGTTCTTGGCTGAACTGCAAAATGCTGATGGTCAAAAGAGGGCTTTTGAAAAGGTTTTAGCAATTTCATGTTCGAATGACTTCCTGACATGAGCCATTCGTGTAAGAAGGAAGGGACCTGAAAGGTAAAGCTCTTTGTGATCCCCCCATGTTGTTCATTGTA